ATCTAAAGTACATTGAGGGGTCAGTAAGACTTTAAAAGCTGAAGTACACTGCCTCAGCATTAGCTACCAGCATAAACCGCCATTCTGAAACAACACATTACAAACACAGGGGCTTTTTTTCTTGTGTGGCCCTAAATTGTGTTTTGGTTCCTTTACTTGTCACATGGTCATCAAAATTTTAAGAATCCCTGCTCTAAGTTGGCTTAAGGTTTGAAAGTTATAGTTTTTTGATAATTAATAGTTTCCTACTGTAATATAACAACTGTAATATCACTAGTATAACACTAAATATTACGTGACCTGTATTATCAGCTCTTATTCCTAACTTGTAAAAGACAAACAGCTGTCAGATCACATCAGTAGCACATATCTCTGCACCATTCAAATACTGCCACGCGATCCTATCATAAAATGGACATTGCAACCATATTCAGCACTGTATATAGTATAAACCTGCTCGACCCACTCTGTGTGGGTTTATTTTAGGCTGGCCTTTCCCGCTCTCTGGATTCCATGTACTGTTCTCTGGCTGCTGACTACTGCACCACTAAGAAGCTCCCTCCCTTCCCCTCCCACACAGCAACGGATAAACACAACGCTCTATCACCATAGCAACCACCCCCTCATGCTGTCTCTGGTGGGTAGTGAGGTGAAGTTTAGCTGGACAAACAGCTGACATGTCTACAACAATATATTGGCACATGTTCGGCAGTTGCTGATTGCATATTCCTCTTAAACTAAAATATATACTGCAAATGTTTTGCAGGTTAGCTCAGTGAGCACAGTAGGGCTGAGTAATGAGATGATAATTAAATATATTTTTGAACGCATAAACACTTAATACTGCAACAGATTCCCATTTTCTGTTGTAAAATGTGACCTCATATATAAGACAACTTCTATATGCACACTTCAAGATAGCCACACACAGAATTAAATGTGTTCATTTAATTAAATTCATTTAATTTATTTAGGTGACCATAGAAAGTATACACCAGCTCCTCCTCCCCTTCTCAGATTTTCCTGCAGAATTTTTATGTGCAAATATATACATTATATTATTAGTGTCTTGTGCTTTTGACATACCACAAAGAAAAGGCATGAAAATGGCGTAACTGAGAGCAAGTATGAGTAATGTAAGCCGACAGAAACAGAGACACTGTTTTTCGCAGTTTTTCCCATGAAGCTATACTGAGCGCTTGAAAAGAAAGTGTGGAGCCAATGGAAAACAGCAGTGCCTGGCAGGAAACAGGTGAAATCATACATAACATGGTGAAAGAGCCTGTTTGTTATACTGCACCTCACTAGAGCTATGTAATGCAAATCAAATCATTGGCCGAAATACTTTTGTGAGAAAAATGACAAACGTTTTACTTAAAACTGATGAAGAAAAAAAGCATTGCTCCTTCAGCATTTTCTATTCTCTTTTATTCATTTTTGTCTCATTCTGTCCTAAATATTTACCGTAAAAGCTGCTTTTTTTAAAACTAGAAAGTGTATCTTGACCAGTTCCATTTTGGCCAACACTGCAATCCATGATTGTCTGTTTTAAGATAGTTCCTAAACATAAATATATGACAAACAAAGAAAAAACCCCTTTATATGGATGCCTCTTTTTTGCGATATAGCCTATAAGTCTAGTTGCAACATGTTAGAGTGTAGAGATCAACATTTCAGTATTTAAGGCTATTCCTCAAACCTAGTCTACGACTTAAACACATACTATATACAAATCTATTTGTCACAAGCTTACGTGAGCTCTAAGAGTAACTCTGTTAGAAATTATAATGATGAATCTGAGTACTGCGTCGCACTTCACATTTATAAAATCTTCAATTAGCCTTTCTAGGCTCATGGGAAAGTTTCACTGTTTACATTCTGAAAACCTGATACAGCCCACTCTATGGAAACTGTGATAAACCCTGTCTGGGTTTAAGAGCGAGATTACAAGTTGAGAGATTAACACTGATTTACATAAAAAGCGAATCACTCAACACGAAACACTCCACTGCAGCAAAGTTTTTGTACAGGACTTTGAGTGATTTCCTTAACAGTTGCAGCATTGCTGTTTGTCTCTTCCTGTGTGCACGCCCCTAAGAGCTTGAGGACAAATATAGTAATTCCATTTGCGTCCCTGTGTTACCTTCCTTACTCCTTCCACTTTAATCGCTGTGGAAAAGTGAGCACTGTATTTCTGTGTGCGTTTGCTAACAAGCTCCAGGGGAAAAGTGACGGAGTAAGTGCGCTCTACTCAACGAATGGCGTGAATCCTAGAAAAAGAAAAAGGTGGAAAACAGCTAAATCAATTATGGAAACAGAAAAGTGAAGCAGGAAAAGATTAAAACACTGAGAATCATTACACCTGTGGGAGATCAAACCCTCTGGCTTTGAGGAAATTGGTTTTTAATGAAAAATTCAACAACAATGTTTCTAATCAAGGTTAAAAACCTGCCTGAAATATAATTTAATTAAAACTGTTTACAGCAGCACCTTTTAATTGTCAGAGGCTTAATGTTACTAGTCTGACTCATACAGTCTGTTACCAAGGACAACAGAGGAAACAGTGTCCTCAATTAGCACTATACTGAGACAACAGACGTTCTGACTAAAGCTGCTGGCATGTCGCTGTCTCTCTATCTGCTAAAAGACCCTTACTAACCCACTGTGTTGAACATTCTTGCATACTTATTGTGTCGCTGACAAGATTTTAGCATCATTTTGTCAAGCCAAGATGATTAAAAGTCAGAAGTGTTGCACATGCACAACACAGTGACTGTGTTCTCTGCTCAGCACGTGTCTAGAAGGTGGTTGCGCAGCTTTCAGTTTGTGGTATGTGTAATCATAATCTAAAGGTGTTTGTGGCTTTGTTCTGCTTTGATTAACTGCAAACATTTGGTTTTTTTTAATTCCCTACTTGCACCTATGATAAATGTCAGATTTAAAAAACCAACGCAGTTCATTAATTACTGATGTTGCCTTTGGTACGTAGCAATCCGGACTATTGTTAGATAATCAACCCGTGCCAATAAAACAGACAACCCTGATCCACCTACTCAAGTGAAAAACAGACACACACCAATCCTTTTGAGGCAGTGTGATGAAAGGCCTCTCCAGTGAGTCACAGGAGCAGCTGT